GCCCCTCCTTTCTCCCGGCTAAACAGATTTACCCTTCAAAATAAGTCTCAAGTATGAGGTGTTCCCCGGGGGTGTTCCTGCTCGAAATTAGCAGCAAAAGATAGATTTTCTCACAAGCGAGAGCCTTTGAAGTCGAATTCTTGCTTTTGATTTAGTGGTTTGAAGTGAAAACTTGTTTGAAGGGAAAACTCCTCATTTACTTATTACGGCTTAAACCTTCTGAAGCAAACGTTCGTGTCACAAGGCAAGTAATTAGTAAGCTGGATAACATTTGTCAGCTTCGAGAAATATAAAAGGGATTTGCTTTGCAAACTATTTTGTCACTCATACAAACTATCCCTTCCTATTTCAAAGCTTCCAATTCTCTCGGAACGTCGCAAAAGAAATTCGTCTCAGGGTTTCCACAGAAGTTTTATAAGTTTTTATACGTTTTCGACGTGTAAATCGAAACACACGTAAGATCCGGGCTGATCGTGTCGTTCACTCTCTTGCGCCCCCCCCCCCTTTTCCTCTTTCGATCCCCCCGCTCTTTCTTTCTGTGAAACTGAGCAGGCTCGTGCTAAATGATTGACATATGATGCAATGGGTGAAATGCCAACCGTTTTAATAACTCTTCGTGGATAAGACTTATCACTTCGGCGTTCGGAAGGGAGCCTTCCCCGCCTCCCTTTTTTGAGACGAGATCACTGATGTAACGAAAGACTCAAGTCTCGCATTTGCCTAACTTGGAACAGTGTTCTATTTTAGATAATGTGAGACACATGCACTGGCGGTTATCAGTTTGCTCGGCGGCGTGCTCCGACTGAATTACTTGAAACTTCGTCTGAGAGCTTTCCCAATCTGTTTCTACCTATCGGTGGTAGCGGGGGTGGTAGGTTTCCTGGACCGCATCAAACGGTCTTGTTGCTTTAGGACACAGTCAGGATCGGGTATAGAGTCGCCTCCTGCGAACATCCCCTGGGAACACCCCCCTGGGAACACCCCCCTGGGAACACCCCCCTGGGAACACCCCCCTGGGAACACCCCCTGACAACACCCCCTGGGAACACCCCCTGGGAACACCCCCTGAGAACACCCCCAGCTTCCCTGCAACGCCACTCCATCCACCACTTTCCCCGACGTGACGCAGGTCTCCGCCATGGACCGCCGACGCAAGAAGTCCGAGGTGCGCATCGTGGCCCCGGAGGACGGCCTGTCCGCGTCGGCGCCTTCCTCGCGCCGGCCCTCGCTCAGCAGGCCCAAGACCCCCGAGTCGCGCCTCGCGCACGGTATGCAGGGCCTCGGCCTCGGCCTCTCGCGCAACGACCGCTCCGAGGTCGACCTGGACGGCTTCATGACGGGTGCCGAGTCCACCGCCTGGGTGGACGAGCGCGAGCTGGGGCACAGGTGAGCGTTGAAGACATGATGAACGAAACGGTGTGATAGTTCTGATGCGGCCGCCTCTAGAAGTCGCTGGAGGCAAGCACAAAGGCCTGGAGGGAGGCCTACCTGGAGGAAGGTCTACCTGGAGGGAGGTCTACCTGGAGGGAGGTCTACCTGGAGGGAGGTCTACCTGGAGGGAGGCCTACCTGGAGGGAGGCCTACCTGGAGGGAGGCCTACCTGGAGGGAGGCCTACCTGGAGGGAGGCCTACCTGGAGGGTGACCTACCTGGAGAGAGGTATGCTATCCTGGATCAATGCTGGCCTGGAGCGATGCTGGCCTTCTCCTCCTGGAGGAGTCCTTTCCTCCTGGAGGAGTCCTCTCCTCCTGGAGGAGTCCCCTTCTCCTGGAGGAGCCCCCTCCCCCTGGAGGAGTCCTCTCCTCCTGGAGGGAGGCTCGCCTGGAGAGAGGCTTACCTGGATACCTGGCCTGGAGGCTCATCCCGGCCGGCGCAGGAGTCCTCCCGACGGGCGCGCGGGCCGCCTGGAGGGCAGGCAGCCCATCGGGCAGGGTCGGTGCTGCTGACGCTGCCGGTCCCCGGCTATGGCCCCGGCTATGGCTCCGGCGGCGGCCTCCCAGCTGATCGATAACCAGTACACGCGGGTGCGGCTGGAGTAGCGGGACAACCCCCGGACAACCCTGCGTGCTGAGCCGCCTGCACGATGTCCCTCACCGAGTGTGTCCAGACATGATACCCAGAAAACCGTTTCTTTGGGGAAAAGAAATGTTATTTACTACAACGAGAATCTCGCGCCAGAAATAACCAATGTCAAATTTTTTGTCCAAGCGACAAAAACAAATCGTAAAAAGGTTTTGTCATGTTGAACAAATTGAAGAAAATCTGAAGAAAATGTTTCTTCGTTTCAAAGAAATTTTGTTGGTTACCGCAAATTTATTATTTCGGAAGTGAATCTACCCTTTTAATTTTACCTTCTCTACTAACTGTTAAAAACATTTTGTGATTTCCCAACGCTTTCACGATACGAAGCAACTGTGAAATCACAATACTTCTTTGTAGTCACAAAAAAAAGTGCATTTTGCTATTTTACTTGAAAAAAGTTGTGAACCAATCGTACTAATTTCTGAAGTTATCGTTTCTGTGACAACGAAAAAGGAAAAAGAGTTGTGATTTCGCAAAGAGTTCTGGTAACTTTTGTCACAACGAGTTCTTCTTGAAATTCTTCCTTTTTTTTTTAACAGTGTGCACCCTCCCCCAGACTTTGCTGCATGTTTTATACGTCGCGTGTGTCCCGTGTCTAATCCTTTCCTGAGACACAAACAATAACGCCTTTAATAATTCTTCGTAGACCGCCCAACGTATACTCGGCCCGTGCTACTCTGACCCCGCTGCCAGGAGGAGGTGAGATGGAGGGGCACATAATTGACAAGTGCACTCTACCGATTCCAAAAGTATGTAAGCAGAACTTTGGTTTTGTCAAAAACATGATAACCATTTTATTTCTATAAAGTAAGGGGGCCTTTGTCTTTGTAATGTTTTGAACCGCTGCTCGTGCTGGAGCTGAGTGTAGGGGCGGGACGGTGAAAGCCCACGCTGTGTAGACGAAAGGCGCACACGACGACACAAATCATTATTGAAGCCCCGACACAACCAGCCCCGCCCGCTCGTCGCTCTTCCGCTCGCTCGATCAGCTGACACGGCACACTGTAAATACGAGAATAAAATGAAAAATAAATTTTTTGGGGTTATCTGAGCAGAACGATTCTCTTGGACATTTTACGAATTTCCAATTAGGACCTCGCGTTTCTACGTTCTAAGTGGTTTTAAGTTAAAGCGAGAGGCCGTTGCAAATCCCAAAAGGTTACTTTGGAAATTTAATTCAAATCCTACTCACTACTTATAACAGGGTACGCCGCTTTACGCCTGCTGCGTTCTTCTGCTAACCCAACAACTGCACACTGCAAAATTGCACTTTACTGCATGCAGTAACGTGTTTGCGTGCGATTGTGTGGGAGCCACCATACAAACTATTTGGTATGGCGAGAAAGGGAGGAGATAAGGGAGAGAGAGAGAGAGAGAGAGAGAGAGAGAGAGAGAGAGAGAGAGAGAGCAGAGAGTGAGAGTGAGAGTAAGTGAGTTCCCTTGTCGTGCGACCGGACAGTATGTTTGCACGTTGACGTAATGTCGCTTTGACTCATATTGTCTGACTCAAAGTTATACGGAACGGGAGAGAGAGAGGTTGGGGGGAGGGAGGGGAGGGGACGCCCCGAGACAGGCTGTCCGGTCCGGATCGGGGAGGACGTCGCTATTAAGCCTCGGACGTGGCGTGTCACTTGTAATCGCGCTTTGAATTGGAAGATACGTGTCTTAGCTCCGAGCACCACATCTCTCTCACATCCCGAGCGACCCCATACTGCTACCGCCCCGCTGTCGTGTGTAGTCCGCCTACACACCACACATGTGTGTTTTATTACTTTTAGGGTCAACTTTGAGGGAAGAGTGTGAATCTACGTCGAAGAAAAACACGTTCCCGTTCTCCAGAAACTTGCTCTAAATGTCTGCGGAAAGCTCATCCAAAAATGAGAAAGAAAGATATATATTTTTGTTCCTTAAATTGTTGTTAAATTGATGACTGGATTTTAAAAGAAGCACCTGCTCAAAAAAATGTTGTCTTTTAAAATGCCCTTTTTTCGTTGTTCCCCCCCAAAAAACAGCCTCGACAAAAAAATAATTGTTTTTTGTTGCCGTGTGTCTTCGTCCCCGCAGCGCAGCACCCTGTTAGCTAGGCAGTCCCGCGACGCAGGGGTGCCTTGCGGGCCTGCCCACCCGGCCAGGCGGCCCGCTTACCGGAGACGTCAGCCCGCCCCCCACGCCTCTTCCAGGGGCCGTTCCTGGAAGGCGCATACACTGTAAAATGCTTGCGAACTGATTGCTTTGCAACGCTACGACAATTGTCATTCTCTGTATTGCAAAGAAATTGTTTGCATTGCAAAGCAATTGTTTGCAACACTGAAAAATGTCGTCGTAAATTTTACAAAAATTTTGTAAACTCGAAACATAACTTAAGTTTTAAATT